ATGTATGTATGTACGTATGTATGTATGTATGTATGTATGTATGTATGTATGTATGTATGTATGTATATATGTTTTGTATGTATGTATATATATATATATATACTTGTATATTATGTGTGTGTCTGTGTGTGTGTCTGTATGTTTGTTTATATGTTTTTGTGTATATGTGCGGGAATGCATATGGATATATTGACATATACTCTTATATTCGTGAATATTTCTATGTAAATAGTATTCCTAGATATATGTAAATAATGTTCCATAAATCGGTGTAACTGCACATATACATAAATTGAGGTACACCTCATCTCTTGTATGACTATTTTCGTGGCGTATCGTTTTCAATCCCTTGGGTGTGCAGCGTGTGTAGCTTGTAACCTTATAGCATGTTTCTGTGCTTCTAGCATAGCATCAACGATGAAAATGTATAATATCCCACACACGTGTGATAGTCTACAAGATGGCACCCTCTTAACCTGTAAGTGTACTTGGTACTGCTGGACTTATAGTTTCCATTGCTCGTCTTATGTCGTAGATCTAGTAACGGATCTGCTACTCAAGTTCTACGGTGAAGAGAGAGCCAGCGAGAGATGGACCATCACAGCCCTAGATGTGCCTGAGAATGTGCAGGGCGTGATGAAGCTGCTGCAGAACAAGTGCTTTCGGGCTGCAGTCGACTTCACGGGTATCTACCTCAAGAGCCTCTCGGCGGGGGTGGACGCGAAGCCAGATACGCCTGAAACGCTGCAGATGATGGTAGGTGTGCAAGTTTGCGACGGCGAGAAGGGTCGGATGTTCGTATGCAGAGTGTTTATATGAACAGATTTGTCATCTATGGTGTCAGGTCAGTGTGTGGTGTGCAGTGCTCTTGTAAGTGGTCGCTCGCTGTCGTCGTGGTACGAACACAGCGCACTCTACTACGATCACTCTCCACCGCAGTTTTTGGGATAGAGTTTAGGGTTTAAAACTTCCTGCCCTAGATTTGCGTGTGTGGGTGTGGTGTGCAAATGGCTACGGGTGCCACTGCCATGGTGCGCGTGGCATTTGCACCTAAAGTAAACGAGAGGCTTCTAAACCTGTCCTTCTCTCGACACTCGGCTTCTCTGTAGCTGGTGCGATTGTCGTCTCTATCGGTACTGGGCCTGTGGGAGAAAGCACTGCACACGCTGGATGTCCTGGGAGACCTTGGCAGATACGGCATTGACCACGAGTCCTGTGACCAGTCCGACAGAGCGTCCGGTAGCAGTGGCCCGGTAGACACGTTGCCTTTCGCTCTGCACCTCTTAGCGGGAGTTGTACCGGTGAGTAGCCCTGCGTGCGTTGTTGAGTTTGGTGAAATCGGATTGGATCCTCTTGGGAGTAGAGGTTGCAGTCTCGCGTATGAATTTAGTTTCGCGACCCTCTGCAGTGTTATAATTTATGTCTGTCTCTCTGTTCGACATGATGTATGTCTGGTTGTCTGGTTGTCTGTTTATTATTCTGTAGGCCTATTTATCTGCAGTGTTGTGATTTATGTCTATCTCTCTGTTCGACATGATGTATATTTGGTTGTCTGGTTGCCTGTTTGTTATTCTGTATGCCTATTTGTCTGCAGTGTTATGATTTATGTATATCTCTCTGTTCGACATGATGTATGTCTGGTTGTCTGGTTGTCTGTTTGTTATTCTGTATGCCTATTTGTCTGCAGTGTTATGATTTATGTCTATCTCTCTGTTTGACATGATATATGTCTGGTTGTCTGTTTGCTATGCTGTATGCCTATTTGTCTGCAGTGTTATGGTGTATGTGTGTTTGTCTGTTTGACATGATATATGTCTATTTGTCTGTTTATCTGTTTGTCTGTTTGTCTGCAGTGTTATGATGTGTGTCTGTTTGTCTGTTCTCTCTGTCGTACATTTAATTGTATGCTAAATCTTCATGTGCACATTATTCTTACGATCTATCGGGCTTCTTCCCATTGGAGTGATTTCAACGCAACCTAGAGAAGTGTTGAATCTCAATCGAGCCATGCTACAGTCCTAATACGCCGACGACGACAACCAATCATAAACCCGTGGCTTGTATTCCACATGATCCTACCCTTACTTGCATCCCCTATAAATTCATCCTTCGCATTATAGTTCAAGGCGGGACATGAGCATGACGCGCTAGATCACATCTACGGTCTGTGGCATCGCGTGCGAGAGCAGAAGGCGAGATGGGACGGCAAGCAGGTACGCAGAATGAATCAGAGCGGTACAAGTTTGGGTCAAAGTTTAATTTGTGAACCAATTTCTCTCTCTTTTTTTTTCGGACGCGTATTTCGAGACGATACCCTGCCGTGTCGTGAATGATTCGAAAGAAATGGTTGTCTGCATGTCGTACTGTCTTGCATTGGGATATTCTGTAAAGATAATTAGTCCGTGTGGAGTGGTTCGTGGGATCTGCCCGTTTGTCGTGCACGCGAGTTCGCGGTGTGCTTTCTGTCGTAACTCGTAGCATCCGGAGACTGACTTGTGCTCAAGCTTGTATGCTTGATGTTTGGAATTACTCCATCGGTTGTCGTTCTAGGTTTTCATTGTTCATGAATATATCAAACGAGGGTCTTGTCTGGTCTAGCTGTATGTTCAATGCTGTGGCCCATGGTTAGTGTGCGTATCGTATGCACGGGGTTGAAGTGCACTTTGTAGCCGATTGAGATAATACCTGTATATGAGTGCTGATATGGAGCATGCAGAAGTATCATAAATGACAAGCATACCGCTGTAGACCTTCATGGAAGGCACATTAGTGAGACCGATATTGGTCTATTGTGCGTGCATGTGTGTATATGGAATACTGCACATGTATTCCACAATGTATATCGAATATTTGTAGTCTATAGCACGACATGGTATGTAACTCAACAGGATGTACTTTGCTGATCCCATCTTAGGGGTCCGAGGAGTTTTTAGTATGGGAAGAGAGGGAGGAGAAGGTTGCCGGCGTGTTAGTGTGGATTCTGGTACAGCTGAACGAGTTCCAGTTGGCCCTGGACATTTTGTCGGCCCTCCCGGAGCCCTCACAAGCACGTGATAGTGAGTACCGCTGTAGGGTGGGGGCGTATCGGCTGATATACCGCGCGCGCGTACATATCGCAGTAGGTGACATTACGGCAGCCACAGATTGCACTAACGAGGCAGAGGCACTGACACAGGTATGCTGTACAGAAGGCGGCTGTAGGGCAGTGCTGTACGCTACTTTGTGGGGTTACATACATGCATGACAGAGATGGCGCATGCATGCCAGCACGAGCCTTATCTACGCGATTGGCCTCAAACGAATAGGTGTACATAGTATGTGTTCAGTTTGCGGTTTGCATAGGTACTCACATTCAGGTATTATAGCTGTAGCTACAGAAAAGTTTCTATATTCCTTATGTTGTATTTATAATTTGACAGATTACAGTGTATCGTTTTTCGTTTGTTAATTAAGTGCCTATGTATCTACTTGTATATATTTACTTGTCTACACGCGCGTGTCAGAATGGGCAAGTTTTTTACTACGCAAATATTGTATGCACAAACTTCATTCTGATTCTCCTGTACTTTTCTGCATGTGACAGCAACAGCTGTGTGTCTTAAGAGAATTTTATATGCTTCTTTGCATTCGGCATGCACAAGTCTGCCAACGGTAATAGACCTTTTGTTTCGAACAGGACTTTTTTTTTATCAATTTTCATTTGATCACTCCTTCGGTGTATTCAGCATAAGAATGTGCTATTCGAGAGAGAAATACTGTTTTCTGACTTGTCAATTCGCCTCAAGTTGCCAACTTCACCTGGGAGCTACGCTTATCTCAAATGTGCTACGCTCTCCAACTGCAGCTTCGATCCATACTTTGTACCTAAATTGTGTGCAATGTTTTTCAATTCCAGCCTTTGTTAGAAAAGGCGTCTGCGGAGGATACACAGGAGGCTTCTATCAGAACTCTTAGAGTCGACCTGCTCATCAACAAGGGCAATCTATTACTATCAAAGGGTAAGCATATGTGAGAAGTGCATGTTGCAAGATACATTTGGTATGCGCCCATGTCACACTAACCGTATGCTGCATCTCTGTGTATTGTTCTTTGCTTTGAGATATGATGTACTCGTGTTGCAGCGTCCGGAATCAATGTGTCCTCTTCTGTGCGCCCACTAAGACTCTTGCCATCGTATGTTTCTATCAGGGTCTTTCAACGACGCGCTGAAAGTATTCTTATCCGCTCAAGAGCTAGCGCCAAACGATACAACTGTTGTCAACAATCTCGGAGTGGCTTATGTGTATCTCGGTCGGCTGTCAGGTTAGTGGTGTACCTATTCCGTTTCTACTCAAAATTATACAAGGACGTGAACGAGGGTTTTACCTTGGATGTGTGTTCGTGTGAGCTATACCCCCCTATCTGCAAGTACGTGGCCCTAGCGGCTTGCCTCTTTCTTCATTTCATTCCTCTGGCATCCTACTATCAGGGTTCCTGTTTTCGTTGTCGAACTCGTATTCGTTCTTCTGTTCTCTTCTCTTCTTTAGACTCGTTTCAGAATCATACTGCTCGCTACTATACCATGATCAAACGCAGTACCCATCTTTTACTTCCATTCGCCAATTGCATGCTCGTGCGCTCATCTATATCATGGTATACGCGCCGTTCCAGAGTCCATCGCCACCTCCAAAGCCTTGCTCAATGAGAAAACGGCCAGAAATGAAGTGCCTCCATCGCAATTAGTTCTTAATCTTTCGACTATGCACGAGTTAGAGTCCTCCCGCAGTGCTGAGAGGAAGCAGGATCTCATCCCATGCGTCGAAAACATCACAACCGATTCGTACCCAGTACAGGCCTTAAAGATTTGATCAGGCTGAGGAACAGTATAGACTGAGGGGCGGAAGAGGTGTAAACAAGCTGTTTAGAGCCCAATAATAACTGGGCACACAAGAAGTAATATTTGCACTATATAATTAGGCCCGAACGTATCTAATGTATATTTTCGAACCAAAAAGAAAAGTCGTAGTATTTCGTTTTCCTACCTAAACATTTGGCCCATGTGTATGTGGCAAATACGAATATTCCGGGTGTAGACTTTGGTCAAAACGGAAACCAGAGAGGACCAAGGATGCCCTTCAAGAACGAGGTGGTGCAAGCTCGAAATACGATAAATAGCGTCAGGAATATTGGCTGGTTGCGTCCGACAGTGTATCTTAGAGGAAACAAAATCTCATTTCATGCGTTGAAAACATCACAACCGATTCGTACCCAGTACAGACCTTTAAGATTTGATCAGTCTGAGGAACAGTATAGACTGAGGAGCTAAAGAGGTGTAAACAAGCTGTTTAGAGCCCAATAATAACTGGGCACACAAGAAGTGATATTTGCACCATACATTTAGGTCCGAACGTATCTAATGTATATTTTCGAACCAAAAAGAAAAGTCGTTTAGGGTTTTAGGGAAACCCTAAACCCTTCTGGTACCGCCCATGAAACTTCCCGGCTAACCAGAATTTTCTAAATACATCAGTTGTGTGTTGTGGTATCGGACAGCCTCTAACTTCGCTCTGAAATAGAATTGGGGATGATAGCCTTACCCTTCTTGGTATCACGTTCAAAAATAATCAGACTGACTCAGCCCAAATTACCACTACGAGTGGAGGCCATCTTTATTCCACAGAATGTCACGCTCCCACCCAATGGTGGAAGTGTTCCATATCCATCGTTACGAATGAACGCACCGTATGTCCTCCATCGTTGCATCACTCGCCCCGAGCTTCTCGCGGCAGTTCGACAATATTAACTTTCCCTCAATATCTCCAGAACCTTTCCAACGAATATTAAACCTGATGTGCACGTAGACATAATAATTTACCCCAAATTGAAATTAAAAATCCCTAGTCAATAACCAAGCGTTTCGATTGGATAAAAAGAATGTATGCTACTGACAACTGAAAATAAAAAGAATCATTTCTATGATCTATCAGCAGAAAATAAAACTATTTCTCTGTGAACAAACCGCTCCTTATTTTTTCTCTGGATTTGGAAAGAGAAAAGAAAAATGACTTTTCTCCTCCGGGATGGATGTTTGGAGAGTACCCCGTCCTCTAGGGAGGGTCAGGACAAAGCAAGTAAAGAAAAGACCTGGCTATGATACATTACATGGGTCATGCACGTTTTTGTTTGTTATCTATCTTTTCAAATCATATAATCGGTTTTTATGTACACATGTGTACGTTTGTCAATCCTATTTACTGGTCAGTTTTAAGGCACACGATAGAAAAAAGAATATTACAGAATATATAAGAGTATATTAGACTAGCGAAGTTCTAACCGTACTCTCGTGTAATTAGAGTATTTAATTTTATTGCATAGGCAGGTGTGCTGCAGCATACTGCAACGACGTCATTGAGAAGAAGAAAAACTCTGCGGTCCGTGCTTCTCACAAAAATACAATAAAGTTTGAGCAGCGCATGATCATCTTCAGATTATCCTCAGTTATAAAAGAAGAAAGAAATAGTGGCCAAAATATTGAAGGAACACAAGTGTTGTTCGATTGATATTTGTTTCAATGAGAAATAGTTATACAGGGTCTGCAATTACCTTAGGCTCAAGTATAAATTTCAGCGATAGAGTAGCATCTGAAAAACAGAACATGCAAAATGTATCTGCAGTCCCCTACATCGGAAATTCTTCCAACCAGCGTACAAAATATTATGCTTGTCGTGTTGCATCACTTTTAAATCGTCTTGCAATGAAATGGCGGAATGTATAGTACCTCCTTCCTTTTGTCACAAGGGTTCATGAAAAGGTGGCTCTGTATTCCTATATACAAAATGAACCAGCTCCAGATTGATTGAGCCTTTCTTGAGCTCTGGTTGTAAGCTTTCACTCTTAGCACGTACGTGTGCGGGCAAAGTGCCCTAGTACGAGATTTTAGGACCGGACAAGAGAACCGGACTGGATGAGATATTAGAGAACTTATTAAGAGTAGCCAATCTGAAAAATTGGCTTACTGGAGGGCAATGACGCATTTGCGTCATCAATCATAATTTAGTGTTAGCGTGTAGGGTGGGCGACTATAAGTAAATTGGTATTGTATCTAAAGAATGGTGCGTTCGAAGGAGTATAATTCTGATCTCACCCTCAGTTTTATTCTGATGATGTTTGCACTAAAGTTTCACCACTTGGGTTTTTGAGGGTAAAAACACTTATTTGATCAGTTTGAGAAACCTTTTACAGAACACTTTAGTACCATGATACATTTACATAAATAAATATATAATTTTTAATGTTACGTACTCTCGGGCTGGCCGGTGGCCTACTTGCAAATAGAACAATCTGAGAAATATCTGAAACTACTCTCATGTGCTCTCGGGCTGACCCATCTATAAATAGAATATTTTGAGAACAAGTCTCAAATTACTCTCTGACTGATGGCATAAAACGATATCAATGTATGTAGACATAAATTAACTCTTGTACTCTCTCATTTAGTAACTAGGAGCCAAAACCATACTGAAACCTGTTGTTCGAGGAAATCTCGTCCCACGTATAGCAGTAGCGTCGATCATAACGGCACATCTGAGCGAGTTCACTTACTCAGACCTGACAATCTTTACTAAGCTTTACTCGGTTTTGACTACAATTTTAAGTGACCGAACTACTGCATTTATTATATTAGATGTTTTACAGTTCTAAGCTACTAAACTCAAATTTTTATTTTGTTGTTGTTGAGTTTTCACGACGAATGCACTTACTGCACTACCAGTACCTAGGGTGGGCAAGAAAGCCTGCGACCGGCTACTGAAACTACTGCTTGGAGAGTGTGTAAAAATAGCGGGTCCTTAATAGTATAAGCAGATGCTGACGTAAATCTGAAGTTCTGGAAGACGTGAAACGAAAAGGTAGATGCTATTCGCATTAGGCAAATTAACCCATTTTTTGGACATTTGAAAATGCATTAGTACACTTATAGAGTACGGAGATGGTTTTCAATTGCTACAATTATATAGTTTCTAACTAATATAGTTGTTTTAGCTACTATAGTTTTCAACTACCATGGCTACTATAGATCCTATAGGTTTCGACATTGGTAGCCCTAAAGTTCGAATCTCGCCCAGGGATAAAAAAAACCCTCACTCACCAGACCAGAGTGCAAAACGCCTGTCAAAACTGAATATTTGACAGCTGTCCAAACTAGGACAAAATTACCACCTCGAACATTCAAGCGGCTTTGAAAAACTGGCGAATTACGTGGAAACGTAAAGTAATATAGACTGTATACGATTATTACAGTATAAAGGATAGTAGTCTTACTTTTTTTGCGCCTAGTCCTCTAAGTTGATAGCTCGCCGATCACCGGCTGGTTGCTCCGTAAATTCCTTGATTGAGGTCATACTCTTTACATGTATGTCATGTACACCTGAATAGTGAATTCTTAACTATCATCTACTGTTTGGGTGTCTCGCTTCTTTCATTTATAGCGACCTTGCGAGCTACACGAGTTTTTTCTCCAATGTAGTGACGTCAAATATCTCATCCGATGAGAGAACGTACACGTCGTCTGTACATATCTTCTTTTTGAACGCAATAGTGTTGATTTTTTTGGTTGAATTTCACCTGCATGTAAATAGCTCGAACAAGGGGATCTGGTTTAGCTATTCCTGCATACGAGTTATTCCATGCCTGCTCTGCTGTTTCCCTACATGCGGTATTTCCGTCCCCTATCGAGCTCTATACATCATCTTCATTCATGTTCAGATCTAACGGCTCACCCTCATCACATACAAAGAAATAAGCACATCCCTATCTATGTATTTAGAAGATTTTCTCGCAGCACGTCCCTCTCTTGATACAGTAGTGCCGATAGCGCCAGTATAAGAGCTAATAATAAGTATATTGTCACGTCTTCGTTGACTACGTGTCGTGGTCAGTTCTGATTCTAAATACTAAAGCAACTTCCCAAATGCTAAACGGTATTCATGTACGCATATATTTATTTCGCTAGGGAAGCAGAAATAGCAGAACCTTTGCTTACGCTACCCGCCGTATCTCCGGATCGATGGCAAAATGCATGGTGGTATCTGCCGAAAATATTGCACGAGTGGGAATCGAAACCAGTGCTCGTCCCATTATAACGCAAAAAGCAGAAAGGGCACACTTTAAAGTGTAGCACGTTTGAACTAGCACGATCTACCCATAGTGTTTTAGAGTTTGATGATATTGTCTAGTCCCACAGCACTCAATGCCTTCTTTTCAATTTTTGGGGATGGTCTTGTCTCCCTGATTTTAACTTCTTGTCTCCCTGATTTAAGTGTTTTGTGTTCCTCATTACTGCTAGTCGATGTGTCGCCAATGTTCGTGTGGTCCTAATGTTGCTGTTGGTCGATGTGTTTCCTGTACTCGTGCTCGTGTGTACGTTGCTAGTAGATGCGTTGCTTGTGTTTGCTTGTAGCAATTGTTGGTTGCTATAATTCGAGTTTCCACTACCAGACTGAGTCGACGCACGTGTCACATGGGGGTTTTTTTTTGCTGTGTGATGATCGTATTTCTGTTACCTGTTTGTATCGCTATTGCTGCTTTAGCAATACTCATTTGAAGTGTGGCAACTACATCGTTATCTACTTGCTGTGAAAGTATACTAACATTGTCAATGCCTCCCTAATATGTGATGATACGTTGTCATCGCCCAACTGATTTGTAAAACTAATATATGTTCCACTTTCTTCCTTTGATGCTTATATTTATGCTTCATGGAGTTTAATAAGCGTATACGTGGATCATCGAGATCGGGTTGTATGACAGCGGTTGAAACATATCGGACTTGTCCAGAAGTTATTCTTCCTTGTACCTTGGTATCGCCGACTTTAGTTATGCTACTAGCAGTCGCTGCCTTTAGCACTAGATTTATAAGTCTTGGGCTGTCGTTGTAGCCCATGCAATATCGCTCGTTGTCATTCCGGATGGCTTTGATATACTGCAAGATGCTCTACATCATCAAGATAATCTAAGCTTATGACATACCTACTATATGTTCATACATTTGTTCGCCACTGTTTTAGATGTGATGAAGAATTCGATATGATTATGGATACGATAGATGTGTCCGTGATAACCATTGATGTGATAATGGGTAGTAAGAGACTACAGGTCTCAGACCAGATTTTACAGCAAAATTCTCTTTGATTGATAGAAGTTATCAGAGTTAGCTCACTTCCGAATGCTAATTACGTTGCTTAAATTACTCCCGAGAGTTGATTGATTGCTTGACCGACTCCCGAGAGCGGATTAAGTTTCTCAACCGACTTCCGAGAGTGAATCAAGTCGGTCAACTGCAATATTTTAAAAATAGCTACGTTCCTATGTGAGCCACAACCTATGCGGAAAGGCATCATGTGATCAGCGTGAAATTTAGTTGCAGAGTAGTCGAAACATAATAGCATCGAAGTGTTAAAGTGCTCTGCAGAAAGTTTCTCATACTGACCATATGAATTTTATTCTGGCCAGCCCAAGCGGCTGAACACTAGCACAAACACCTTAAGTATAAATTCAAAGGTGAGGTCAGAAATAAATATATGCATTTGCACTTTATTTAAAGTCTACTACAATACACTCTAAAATGTATTATGTGGTGATTCGTACCGAGATGCTTGTCGAGGAGGGCTGCCAGGCTGTCCATCGATACTACAAGGGCTGTTAAGCATGTTTGTCTAATACATATAACCGTGTTCAAGCTGTCTAGGTAAATAGTGTTTATACTATAACTGTTGTAGTGCTTTTACTGCAACTGTTATTGCTTTACTCATTTGTAATTTCTACAAGTATTGAGTGACCGTTAGTAGAGCGTATGGTGTTGACTGCTTTGACTCTGTGCCACTGTCGATAAACGGCGAATGCTTCTTCTACCCAAGTATTTATCGGACTTAGCGACAGGTGGTTTCCAGATGGCTATCACCCCTACCATATCGCCATATGCATAGTGTTTGAACGGTAAAAGTACACTTGTTAGGTGCTACATGGGCAGTTGAAAAGTACTACAGCACAGAGGTATCCACTAGTACGATAGTGAACCAGTTTGAACATGAACGTGTTGGTTGCTATCATGGCACAAAGGCGGATTGTGATGTCTTCACGCTATTGGGTAAAGCTTTCATTGGAGAGTTCGTCTCGGTCAATAATAGGAAGCTCCCTACAAGTCAATAGTAGTTTTGGCGGCGAGCCTTCCTTGCTATCTCCATAGTTGTGAGACGTTGTTGGTATTATGTCGGATCTGCTCGCGGAGCTTTGGGAGCTCATTGTGTTACCCTTATTGACTAGTAGTAGTGTGAGTCGTATTTTACATCCATTCGGTTCAGTCATCGGATATTCCCCCCCCCCCCCCTAATTTTTACCAGTTTTTAGGGCCGCTTTGATGTTCACAGGGGGTTAGAAGCGTTTTGCGCTCTGGTCGGTCGAGGGTGTCGGGATTTTTCTTTTTCTTTTTCTTCTTCGTTTTGCGAGATTCGAACTTGCGAGAGTAATACAAGTACTCAGGGAAGTTTTAGTGAGGATTACTGATTGGGAACCCAACTGACCCAGTTGGGAGCAAAAATAGATCATAGCCTTCAGTTCTCCACAGGTCTAGTTTTTATACAATAGCGGTCTTGTAGTAGAGAACGATAGCAGTCAGAGGACGGGACATACCAGCCCTATGGCAAGGACATGGAACGGCCCTAACTTTGGGGTCTCGGAACAACCCATGACAAGACGATCCCCATGTTACTCAGTAACTGAAAGACACTTTGATCTATCCTTCTGTACACTGGTTCTAGCGAGGTTGAACCCACTAGCTTAGTTTTCAACGATAGTAAACGACGTCTACCTTGAGTTTACTGAACTAAGCTCGAAGTAGAACGAATAACCTGATACGAATACCTAATTTCGATCCAATATCATCGCGTTATTGAACACTTCTTGCTTTTGGATTGTGTCATGGTTAATTTTCTGCAGCCCAGTTCCACTTCTGCGGCAAAGTATATTCCCACCTATTATGGAAAACTTTGGAAGCCCATATTCATTTTCTTCTTATCATTGGAGAAGGCAAAGAATGCACCGGCTTCCTGGCAGATGATGATACGGTCGACATAATGCTCCCGCACATTAATCAGGTAGTCTGTTCGAGTGTAAAGTGATAGACTTAAAATAAAGTGCAAATGTTTGTTTTTCTATGACCTTGCCTTTAGTTTTGTATTTAAAGTTTTAGTGGTTTAGGGTTAAGGTTTAGGAAAATTTCATATAGTCAGTATGAGAAAAAAATCAGCCGAACACCTTAACAATTCGATAGTATTCTATTTCAACTTCTCTGCTGCGTAATCTCACGCTAATCATATGATTCTCTTCTGCAAAGGCTGTGACTCATAAAGGGGCGCAACTTTTCCCAGATTTTTGCGGTTAACAAATTTAATCAATTATCGGGAGCCGGTTGATAAACTTTAATCAACTTTCAGGAGCCGGTTAAGAAATTACCTCAACTTTCGGTAGTGGATTAAGAAACTTAATTAGCTCTCAGGAGTGAGCTAACTCTACTGATTTCTATGAACCAAAGAGTTTCTCTTGCTATAAAATCTGGTATCAAACCTGTGGTCTCTTAATCTAGATCAATATGGTAGAGTTTTATTTTGGCGCTATGTTAACTATAATTGAACACTACCTCACTGCACAGTATGATCCATCTGCATACCTGCGCCTGATCAGGCGAAACGTCTCAACACGGCCCACTACTGTGACGACCGCGCCAAACTGATATACTTGTCTGTTTTCGCGAAGAACGTGTCGATAATTTATCATCTATCAGAGAAAGATATCCAGTCACCCCGTAGGTCTCTAGAGCTCCTTGATAAGGTGAAATGTCCCAACACGGCCCACTACTGTGACCAAGCTGATCTACTTGTCTATTTTCGCGAAGAACGTGTCGATTATTTGTCGTCTACCTTAGAAAGCGATCTAGTCACCCCGGGGGTAGTCACTAGGGAGGATGTAGTCATCGGCATGCTCAAGGTCGCCAAATCTCTCATAGGTGCCAGAAAGTCCTACAATGTGCTAACTAAAGCACCACCGATTGGTAACTTTCCAACAACCACCCCTAATGCTGACTTTAGCCCTTTCTTCATCCTTCGTAACAATACACCTGACAACAGAACTAATCACGAGCCGGCAAGCAACAAGCGCACCCGTTCACACAGACCTTTAATCGGTCTCCCCATCGCTCTGTACGCCAACCACGCGCATGACAGGCAAAAACGCTCATAGTGCCATATCGTGCTCGCTCAGCTCACTCAACACTTCACACTCCTCATCAGTCACGGAGTACACCAGCTGTTGCGACAGATCCCACGGTGGCCGTAACCTGCGACTACACCAAAGTCTCTCCAACGGCAACCTACGTCAACTCATCCTGACCGAGCACCCACTGCCACAAAGACGGATAGACCACTACTAATTGTCAATCTTAGTATACTAGTGAGCACATGCGTCAACGGAAATAAAACAACAGTACGAACGATAGCACAGATCACGACCGCGAGCTGGCTACGAGTCCGATTGACAACCAACGCTCCAATTGTGTTACACACACATGCGGGGACTTACGGAACTACCACGACACGCGAATCCCATATAAATCACGAGCGCAATATTGATGCAATTGTGTTTAAGCCACCGCACTCGTGCCTGAACGTTACATACGTGTAAAACGACGATAGGAAAGATAGTAGTTGAGATTAAAGACAAAGTTTCTAAAGTAGAATAACAAGAAAGTGATATTCTGTGCGTCATCTCGTGCAGTATTGTATAGAGAAAAATTACTTATCTTATAAAAGTCAAGTTCATATATAACTTTAAGTTATAATGGATATAAGTCAATAATACCTAGCAAAAATATTACGCTACGACAATGCTAGTCAGGATATCCCTATTCCTATTTATTTAAATAAATATCATATATAATTCATACTTCGAAGCCTGCTAGTGGATTCGCGACCAACTGTAGGCCTCGGCCAGGAACATTGTCCAGCTGGACGGCTCACTCATCGTCCATGGGAACGATTTCATCTTCACTGCCCTTGGTCGATGGCGACCTAAGCAAAGTATGCTCTATGAATACATCTACCTCCGTTAGTCTAACTGCTGATTCCCGCGTTCGAGGATGGTGTTGGTCTTCTTTACGTTTAGTATGCATGCTGGCCAGACACGTCCGAATCACCACACTCATATGAATAACCATACCTCAACTAGCCACCCGCCGTCCAGCAAGGCTCTTCAGACATGTATCCAGTGAAATGTGGACAATCAAGTCATGTACCACAACCTAGCTCTCATACCACCAAAATCTACATTCATCGTCACACTTATCTTGGTTTGGCACAGAACTCTACACGTCCCTGAAGAAGTCTTGTACAGTGCTGCGGATGTACATTACAGCAGCCTACACCGATTAACTCAGGAAAGTGTCCTTCAAGCATTCGACGTGTACGGGCCTATGCAAGCGGCAGTATATGCCACCATAATAATAGCGCCAAGTGGTCGACTACGCAAGCTGTGTCACGCCAGGCAGACTCAGCGACTCAGAAAATCGCCGGCCAACTCTCACACTGTAACTCTAGACTTCCGTGGACTGCAGACAATACCATTCAAGACGCGTCGACACTGAATGTGACACCCGATAGGACGATGCTGCCAGCCCCAAGACTCAACGCGCAAAGACAGTATTATATGCACCAGATGCCGATTCGCCACGTGGGCATGATTTGTTCTATCCGCCACACGTGTAAGCAGAGTCCCAACAAGGTGACATCTGCTACAGCCACGGTCACGGAACAACCAAAAGCCCACACCGCTCATTATAGGCATCGACGTTCCCCGTGAACATTGTTAGCAGGAAGCAGGTGATATGTGAACAGCTATCACACACACATAGCCCAACCATGAGAGACCGTTGGCTTCAACTTCCACATCCTACACGTCTCCCAGGGCTACCTCATCTTCACAACAGCACACCGATGGACTTTCCCGTCAGCCCCGTTGCCTTATGGAAAATGTTAGAAACAGCTGCTATGGTATATACTACCTGGAGGACGGCAATCTTGTCACACCATGTTCCAGGAGGCCACCCAGGCGATATTCAAAGCACTGAACGATTATTATGATATCTTCCGTATAGTTCGAAATCTGTAAATAATATCAAAGAGCATACAACTACGATTGGCATTGTTTCTCTAGATGAGAGAGTATTGATTTTACTTCAGCTATAATGAATAAAATAGCACTGGTTTTATTCGGCAAAACAGAACCATTGTAACATTGATAGCTCATTACATCAGTCTCTTGTCGATTATTTCTTGGTGAGCTAAATTTTTTTCCAAGTCATGCCACAAAACACAAGGTGCAGTATTATTCGACCTCCCCAGTAAACAAACTGTAGTCAAGTGGGATATAGCTCACAAAATTGATACGGTACTGGATTGGTTGGTTCAGTCATTTGCTTTACTACATTGTCGCGAGCTCGAATTTTGTCTTGGGTATACATTGGGATAAAAGACAATCAAATAGTACTAGGCCAGCACTACTGCCCAGCGCGGAGCCGCGGAAGGTTCGGAGAAATCCGCCCAGGAGTAGCAATCCCAGCGTGGAAACAGCAATGGCGCACAACTGGACGAGATGGTTGCTATATTTAGTACTAGCGTACTCGCAATGCGTTGTATCTACTATATGAATGCTCTACTGCATTAATAAGCCGTGTGGAGCACCCTTCTGAAACAATGCTACTGGATGTTAGTGAACCGATGATTGCATTTCTTCCCCGACAGCAAAGACCATTTCTTGACTAACGCTGATATAGTGACTTATCTCACGGCCACCCTCTCCACCCTCCGAAAGGTCTATAACCCCGCCCATAGCGGGCCGGATAGAGGCCCTAAGCTTGCATCTCAGGAAGACGGCCCACATGTTACTTAGTAGCTGCGAGACAACACCAAGTGTCTGAAACTTCTTTTTAAAAACTACCGGACCGACCCTTTGTGCGGTCTATCCCATATAGTGGTTCTAATGAGGCTAAACCCAATAGTTTCGCGATATTGTAAACGACGCTGACCTTATGAGTTACAGTTTTGAAAATCTTTATTCTCTCCATGGCTCTCTGAATTCATACGGTCGCGAGCAGAAATCACTAAATCAGGGTCGTAGCGGAAATCGTAAATTCAGCAGAGACCTAAATCCTGAAATCCAGAGGGCCATGATTTCTTCCTTCATCAGCCTTGTTGTCCTACTGTCCTTTTTACTCTCGCGGCTGAGAGTTCGGACTTTGGACGACGGTCAGTTTTCAAGATTTGAAATTTTGGCGGGCGCTCTGCACAGACTGCAATCTACACTCTGGATTCTGTTCGGTTTGACCGGACTTGAAAGTTGAATGAGGTATATAGAGACTCACTCAGAGTCAGAGACTAGTCAGAGTCGCAGAGACTCAAAGTCTCAGAGTCTCAGAGTCTCAGAGTCTCAGAGTCTCAGAGTCTCAGAGTCTCAGAGTCTCAGTCTCTCAGAGTCAGCAGTCAGCAGAGTCAGAGACCCATCAGTCACTCAAAGTTTGAGATTTCTTTTTGTTTCGTTTTCACAGAAGTGTGCTTTTTTGGGTTGAAATGACTCATGCGACAAAATAAAATAAATTTCATTTTACGGTAAATTTTTACATATATAAAACTTCGATGACGAACTATGACTGTTTTCAATGTTTTGTTCGAATTTTGGGATAAAAGTATACCGAAAGCCTGAAAACCCCAATTCAACAGTTTGTTTTAGGGGCGTTTCTCTGGTGGGCTGGTCAATATAGAAACCAGAAAATGTATTAAGAAAACGCGCAAACTTTTATATAAAGTTGTAACTGACGTGATATGTAGTGTTTTTGGGACTATGTATCTAAAACCGGGTCGAAATTCGCAGATAAAGATCATATTACAAATTCGGCATTGTGCACCGATCGATTCTATAGTATGACCTCTAATTGTACTGCGCAAAGTATAGCTAACGAAGTCTACGGGTGGCGATGCATACAGGTACATACACTGGCCTACACACACATAAAGTACTGAGATGACTGTTACAGTAGCGATTTCTATAGGGACAGACAGTAGTGTATAGGCATCTATTTTCTACTTGACAAGATGTCGGTTACGGAGGTGAAGCTTCCGGCTGAAACAGAGGTCGACCAAATCCTATCAGCACTATGCAGCAAAAATCCATTAAGCGAAACTCTTTCATCCAGCGCCAAAGAATATCTTACTCGTATACAAGCACGTGTTAGTGCAAAAGAATCCAAGGTAAGTGATTCCGCGTGCCCCTTTGATACGTTTCTGGAGATTCCTTAAATCTCTGCATGTTGCTGTTGTGAGCGCGGGATATCCAAACGTACAGCTTGAGTCTGTACCATATGCAAGTTGTGTAAAACTGGTTTCCATCCCGATGTAATCTATACTAATGATAGTAAATCACAAACCTATTCTGGACACCGCGCCATATACATGATTATTGTTTTGTGTTTCAAAATACGCATACCATCCACAAGCCTTGCAGCACCTCTTGATATGCTGATATCATTTTATTATCTCATTTTCTCTAGTTATTCTGAGATCTAACTCTGTCCCTTATATTGTAGTCCAACCTCCCTGCCTTGGTAATATGTGCTTTATTCCTGGCTGGGTGTACAACAAAGGAGCCCACTCCGGACCTTGGCCAGATGCTCTTAAATAGGAGAATAAGGTTAGTTGTAGTATTATTTGTGGTGCTTGTCTTTGCACATCGTGTCAATTACACGCATATATGCGATTATACTATTTGATCCAGTTTATTTCTGTGGATTGGCAGTTGGATTCAAACAACCGTGCTGATTGTGCACTTTCTAGTATACGAGCATGTCTCAATCCGTGTCTTAACGATGCATGCTCGACAGGTTTTCAGTTGCGCATGAGATGTTGTAATACACTAATAGCACATGGACTGTAGACTCAATTTAGGCGGTCTTTCAGAATTAGGTCGTCGTTGCTTTTTTAGCCAACATGCCTTTGCTTTATGCATCGCCTGTCAGCTACTGCAAGTTAGAATAGCGGGTGCTGTGAATATGCCTACGCAGCCATGAGCACATGCACATTTAAGAAGGGAGAAGCATTCATATACTCTATTCACACCGCCAACGCGCCCTATGTTGCCAGTTTGCCCTCATTCATCAACAGATTGAAGAGTTTAAGCGGGGATGTGTCGGTGAACACAGATGTGCTAGATGACGGACTGGCAGAAACTGTGGATGAATTAGACCACCAGTTTCAGGCTGTTTCCTGCATCTTTAGAAAATACGAAGCCCTGCACAAGAAGGTGTTCACTCCAGTCGCTTCCAAAAAGTCTGAAACCGACACTAGAGGACCATACTTTATATTTGGCTGGCTTTTGTATTTAATCGCAAAAGGTACGTTCGGGGATCTATGTACTTATAGTGCTTTGTGAAGTCTGCTGACCTGTTGTATAATTTTCAAGTCGATGCTTCACCTGGTGGTAAATAATACGTGTGTATTAATTTCAGCCTATAATGTCTGTCGCGCAGATCACCTCCTACAACAGACATACGATCTGGTAGACAGCATACACCTTTTGGTAGTCGTCACGTTGTTCACCGTCCGACAGGCACCTAGGACAGCGCTGGCATCAAGCATGAGCAAGGGTGAGTGTCTGGTTTAGTTTCTTGTAAAACTGTACTTGTGTACATCGGATGCAAGAGTCTCAAGTAAGCACACACTCAATGTGTTCTAATTTCGATGACAATCAGACGTGATTTTAAACTATCTGAACCACTCACTTACAGTTTTGAAAGAAGATGGCAAATCAGTGGACGAAGAGTTGCTTCTTAATATGCTCTGCGAGGTTGTGAATGCGCAGCCCGCCGACGTTACTGTAATACAAACTGCTTTCCGATCATACCTGGAGAGTTTAATCAACAAGGCCGAAACGTTGACGTATGATGGTATGTTGAGTATGTCGTTGTGTCCGATATGTCACGCCAATACACAGCACATTCCTCTGGTTGCACCTCGCTCCTGTATCAATTCAAACTACCGCGTTTTCAATACCAAATGGTTGACTGATATTCACACACTGTACCTTCTTTTGCGAAGCGCCCGCGTTGGCACCATCCGCTCGGCGGATAAGAACCCGGTCTGCTTCGTCGTATCCAGGTTTGTGTGTATACAGCACAACGCACACATACACTTTGCGGCGCAGACATCTCATCGTATACCTACAAGTGTCCTAGTAGCTGTCTCTTGTTTCTGTGTTTGCGTATCGTACATAATTGTTTGCATTCTGTTTAATGTTTTGCGTATCAGGGAAATGCTTCGGCCTGAGTCTGGTTGACATTTTAGTAGTGCTGTGTCTGCATGTACAGTATAAAGAGAAATCTGTATCAACTGTCCGAATGTGTTACTTTAACTACATTTCCCGCTTATACAGAAGACGAAACTGAAGCAAGTCCCTCGACAGTCAACCTAGACAGCACACAGAACATGGCCGGCACATACATCTCGCAGAATATTGAATTTCTGAAGGGCACGTACGAGAAAAACAAAACAAGCAATACACGCTTCGATGAGGTATGACTTTTAAGTTTCCTACGGGTTCTTTTTCTTTAACATATTCCTAATTTTGTTCTTGCCCCTTTTGGATGTACCTGTTTGCTGTAAAACAAGTCCATACAAGTTTGAATTGATTGTTGAGGCAAACATCTTGTCAATTCCCTCTGTTTCCCTTCCACCACAGAGGATGTATCTGAACGCTAAGTTTCTGGACGTTGTGGCTAAGGTGGATGAGGCCTCCAGCTCCGAGGCACTACCTAAAGCAATATCTCGAACCAAAAAGGGAAAGGGGCAAACCAGCACGGCACAGAGCATGAAAATAGACGATAAGAACACCACGATACCTGGGAAGAGAAAGAAATCACATCCTGCTATACGGGTTATTCGCGAAGTCAATAGCGAATCCATACCGAGTAGCAAAATAAACAGCAAGGAAGTGCTGGAGGAAGGGGCTGATAGAATCAAACGGCCGAAAATAGACAGCGATGGCGGACTCAGCCCGGATGATACAGAACCCAAAACACCGCCCAGAAGGAAAACGAAGCATCTGAGCCATCGTGATACCCCTTTGACATTCAAATACGACAGCAGGGTATGCTTTATATATCTGGCGAAAAGCAAAGAAGTGCGACTTTGGTAGAAATTTTTACTATCAAATTTGTGCATATTTAAGATAGGCAATGCAAATGCTCGTTGACAAATTATTTGACAATTCGGCTTTAAGGACTCAAACAAACGGTTTTACCCATGTATATTTTTTCACGTTCATATCAGGATCAAAACAGTGCACTTCCAATGCAGACCCCCACCAAAACGGCTATGAATGCCGCAGCTGTATTGAAAGAACTGACCGCTGACATATCAGAATCTACACCGCAATTCCTAAATGTACTGGACATCCGTACAGGAACCAAAAACTCTCCCAGGTATGAATCGGCTTGAAAAAAATCGGGTTTGAAGTGCACAGCACCAGATTTCCTATCGATTCTGTTCTTCTGTTGATGCAACTGTATTGGAGCACACGGGCTGCGTTGAATTCTGGAATGATATGAAAAGCCTGTTCTATTTGGTCGTGTGGTGTGGACACCTTCAATACACGTTTGATAGCATTAACAAGCGCACCTTTGCAATATACATGAACAGGCGGAATAACGTGGAGGTGATAACCAAAAGGTTGGACACTATGGGAAAGATCTTTACTGATCGCTATGTCAAAGAGGTAGGATAAATCAGTCCGGTTCAATTTGTAAGCAAGTGACCTGCTCTTGTGACCACGTTCGCGATCCCTGCTTCTAAACTGGTTCTGATGCATACACCACAGAGAGGAAAAGAATCCCTCTCAATCGGCCAGGCGCATTTCGATTTGGCCAGAAAATTGTATGTCCGAGTGCTGACAACTATGTTGAGTGAAGAGCGCAAGAGACTAACCCCCCATCAGTATGGTCAGTTCATCAATCAAGAGGCGAGTAGCGTGTTCTGTTACAGTATGCTTTTAAATCGAATTTTGCACAAATCCGAGAAAGATTTTTCTGATTACTAATTTTAATCTTTGAAGGTATTTTATATTTAGAAATGGTGTCTTATAGCTAATTGTGAATGCTTCCGTCTTCGTCTTTTGGTAGGACTTCCATCATGCACTCATCGCGTGTTCCTTAGAGGTGGTCATCTGTGCGTATGGGTTGAAAGACATGAGTGGGCCGTGGCTCCTGAAGGCACTCAAAATATGTCCGTACGATTTCATAAAGGTATAAACAGTACGCAATTATCTATGTGTGGTAGATCATTGTATGTATTTCAAGTCCTTATCTGCCGGTTCCCTGCTATGTATCGGCACATTTTGACCACAGGGATGTAAAGATTTTCAGGTCATATATATATATTGGTTATAATGTTTAACATTTAAGCATATGAGAGTCAGCTCTTGAAGGGGTGACATTTGAACTTGTACTTCGAAATCGTGGGTCACGTTTCTAGAACAATTATCTAGCCAGAATGCTACCTTTTGCAATAGGAGTACACAAAACAGCTGCGAGCCTGCTTCATTCTCATACAAATATATGTTTGCACTTTTGTACATATATATACAGCACACATACGCGCACACAGAGACATACATACATATATATATATATATATATATATATTTATATATATTATTACGTATATATATAAACATAGACACACACACACAAATATATATATATATATATCTGTACATAAATAAATACATTCATACATGCATTCATATATATACATATACATATACATATATATGCACATATATGAATATATATATATATATATGCGCATATATATAAATGTGTTGATAAATCCATCTGTCTACATATATATGTATTAATACGTATCTATATAGAAATACAAACAGACATATATCTATATATATACATATACATATACATATAAATACATATATAATGGACATATATACAGATTAATACACACACATATATATATTTATATATATATATGTATGTATATATATATATGTATGTATATATGTATATATATGTATGTATATATATATATATATCAGGGTATGTTTCAATATATATGTATACGTGAATTCTGACTAAGTACATCAGCTTTGACTGCACATGTTACACATATATAGTGGCCCTCAAGTTGTGACTTCACTCTCCACCTGCTCAAGTCTCATTTTTGCCCCATCAATTTGATCATTCTTCACCACTTCCAGGTTCCGGAGAGTTTTGTACGGGCTGAAAGCCGGCTCACCAGAAGTATGCTTAAGCATTTGGCTCACATCGAAGAACAAATGTTAGCCAGTATGATCTGGGTCAGCGGTGGCAAAATATACGAGGAGCTTAAGGACAAGGTACGGTGTTTGCTGACCTATCACTTACACATTACGATGTTTCAATATCTATCACCCGTTTTATATCGGTATAAGTCGATATTAACATGGGTCGAATAACAGACAATTGTGTTGATTATTTGCAGTGACACAGCTAGAAACTGACCTACCCTACTTTCCCTCTAACCCACACACACACCCACACGGCCAATACCCGTTCAGGATGTTCCTCGATGGGTAGACTGTGCCCCTCCATCACAGAGCCGCATGCGGGCCAAAAAAACAGTGAATAAAACCGAGAATACCAGTGCCGGTGTCGGCAACACTGGTGCCGTAGCTGCCATCACATCCACCCCAGTATCTTACTCACAATCCGTGTCCGCAGCACCGCCACCCGGGGTATGTATATGTGTATATATTCACCATACACAATTATCACGCCATTCCCGAGCTTCTGGTACATGTCCTTGACGTGTATATGATAGGTTTCACTGGTTTGTCGGAAATAATCTAAAACTTGGCACTCCATTCCTGACATGTCGTTTACGTGTATTTGGTATATATTTTTTGTTCATCTAAAATACCGTAGTTTATCTGAGATACCATAGCGTGAGCCTGCACTCTACTCTATGAACTCATAACCACATCCATGTACGTCCCCTGTACCTACCCAGGCCGTCGTACCGGGTATTGTGGCCGATGCCTCAAGTCGGACCCTGTCACCCACAGCCACAGAAACCATCAACACGTTGCTCACTGTGGCGCACACCAACACCGGCCTACCCCCAGCCCCAGCGCAGCCCCAAGCGCAGACCCAATCTGTGACAAAGGTACCCGAAGCAGTGTCAACAACCACTCTGACCACCACCACAGACACTACAGCTACGGACCCGTCCAGGGTGGCCAACAAGGGAGTGCAGCTCATACTCAGGAAGGTAGGGCGTTGGCAAGTTTCTGCGTTTGCATTTGCAATTTGCATCGTTTGCGGTGCGTTGACATCCTATCCTCACCCTTTTCATGGTATATACCAGCCTTGTCTACTCTATTATGTGGCTGTCTCATTGTGCAATAAATTGAGCCGCTGGGCATAGATAGGAACGGCGCATGTCACTTGTGCTGACTGGAAATTCACAGCTGTTATCGCGACTTTAATTCGATGTTATTGCTGATTTGTTCTAGGACTGAATGTTGATGTATGTGGTGTTTGACTATAGCCTGCTTGAATGTCATCGCTGTGCATACGCCACATGTTATACATAGCGCGTGAACTCATCCACCTTGTTTCTTCTACACATTGCGCGTGAACTCATCCACCTTGTTTCTTCTACACATTGCGCGGTGTCAGGTCTACAATTTAATGTACATAAGACTTGAGGAATTGTGCGATGCACTGGGCATCAGTCAAATAGAGATCCAACCGCGAGTGTGGCGGCTGATTGAAGACACACTCTGCACACACATTGAGATCATGATTGACCGACACCTGGATCAGATCCTGCTGTGTGCGTTGTTTGCGGTGGGGAAGACGCTCAAGATAGAGGAGTGTGCCTTCAAGAAGATAGTCGCGTGCTACAGGAAACAGCCCGATGTGGACAACAATACCTTCAGAGCAGCTCTCTTGAAGGACGGGAAGAAGTATGACTGTATCATCTGTGCATTTCTCATTGTGGTGTATGATTGTATGATTGGGTCATTCAGTCGATGCCCTGTATTTCAGATCTGGGTTATAGTTTTGAGTCGTTTCCGAACAAAATGGAAGGGTTTCGAGCTTTTCCTCCGCATGTCCCTCGGTAAATGTGTTGGTTCACACACTAAAGTGCCACATATTCAATCCGTACCTGACCTGAACAATTTTCATCTCTATCACTACAGAGGGACAATCATTCAATTTTATAACGAAGTGTATTGTAAATGCATGGGTACAAGTATCCTGGAAGTATCTGAGGTGAGAAGATGAGTTGTTTAAGTGTGCATTGGCCTGTATTGAGTCCCATCGTTCGCTTTGTATAGGCATGCGTCAACCTGATTACGTCATACGACGCGGAGGCACAAGCTTTTTCTCGATTATTAAAATGTTGTTTATTTGCACCAGCAATCGCATATGCCGTCACGTATCTGTTGTTGAATGCGATATCATATATTTATTTCTGGTCAAATTTTGTGACAATGTAGTCTTAAATTGAATCATCCAACCTTTTAAATCGCAGCAATCATTGGAGAGCTTACATGCGGGCACAGCCACGTGTCCCCTGTCGAAGCGTCTGCAAGCGCTGTGGTCTTCACCCAGTACAAAACATCCGGTACGTTTCTTACGGTCCATTCTAACTGATAGTTGGATCTGTACAAGCTGGGCTTTAGACCCTTGGTCTTGTGCTGCACCTTCGCGTCGATTCTAGCGTTTGATAGGCACCATCCATCCATTCTATCGCAAGCGTTTTGTTAAACATCCACGAACATCATCTCTCCCTTCCGCCACAGGTATCGAACAACCACCGAGTGTTCGTGTCGCCAATGAATAGTGGGCGGCGATTGTTTGGCGAAGGCGATGGCTCAGGCAACCGACATATTCCGGTACGTTTTCACTCAGCAGTGCCAGCACCCGGCTACTATGAGAAGTCCCACTCGTAGTTGTTGCACTAAATATCGGCCTGTACTCGTTGCCTGTGCATACATGCCCGTCTGTGCTTTTGGTGACAATGGCACACTCAACATCTGAACCACCAAGCAACGGAATCAATAACAACAATTTCATCCTACCGGCATTACAGGCCAATGCGATACGCGGCGGCCATCCCGGCAACTCTGGGCTGAAGTATACGCTCGGGGAAAGCCCCACCACGGTGCTGACCGAAATCAATAGAGCAGTCAGTGGAGAAGCCCAGAAAGAGCTGAGCAAGGCACCTGTCCCAGTCATCGGCGGACAAACGCAAAGGCAGATACGAGATCTAGGTGATTGTGCTGGCTAGACTCCTTTTTTTTTGTGAACGTTTGCGAATATAGAAATTGGCTATGAATGATTTGTAAGGGTGGTGGGCGTGGTTATATGTCTTGCCATGGGCTGCGGTTGGTGTATGTGCCAATTGTACGGACTGTCTGACTTCCAATTAATTTAGTGATCACCTCAGTTTCATTTGACAATGAACTGTGTTCACACCTCAATTATAATCAATTTAGTGACCACTTAAGTTCCAATTGCTAAAGTGATCACCCCAATTTCACTTTGCTGCGCATTCATCCGAGTGCTTGTTGTCTCAAGTGTCCCACCTCACCTTCCCATCCCAACAGTGTACCGCTCCGCCCAACCATCCACCGGGTTGGCGAACAAAGCGCCGGCCTATTCAGTCTCTACCACGGCGGCTACAGGCGATCCATCGCGCACCACACAAGTCCAACTAGCCCAGCAAACCATCACCATACAGCAACCAACCGCACCGGCCCCACAACAACCGACAACCACTACCACTCAGCAGCCACAGGTATCCAGTGCGGCAGCCCCGGCACCGTATAGTAGTACAAGTGCAGTCAGTGAGAATGCCCCGCCCGATAAACTGAAGCTTGTGTCCAATATAGTGCGTGTGGGTACGCCGTTAGAAGCCACACCCTCGACGGCAGAGAAGCCGCTCTGAGGGGGTGGCCGTGGCGTGAGGGTTTAGACTCTGCTGGGCAGATACAAGCGAATGGGAAATAGATAAGAAGATATGAAGTAAACTGAATATATATTTTGAGCGCGGCAGAGTGTTGTACGGACACGGTGCACCGAGCTTGCTTGGATTGGAATTGGATCCAGCATATACTGCTTAGCATGAATCATAATATGAAATGCGCGAATTAGAGGGGACACAGGGTGTATACGCATTCGTATAGTTTCAAATGGGCTGGGAAGGGCTATCAAGCTAGCAGTCTTGTTTCATGTGGCCTAGCGCAATGGTCAAATATTGTGAAGTACCGGTGCGCACTAGACGATGAAAATGTATAAAGGGTACGTATCAAAATCGTGTGAAAAATCACGTACAACAATTCTCGGACCCCTGGATGGATACATCACTAGCTATAGACACCTCTCTCTATAATTTCATATGCTTCTACACATCAATACAAGAGTATGCACTTTCATTCATACAGTGAACACCATACGCACATAAGTGAATATTACGCGAATAAGCATATATTTCTACTCTTCCGCTTATACACCTCATATGTAGTAGAGTTAAGAAATTCAAAAATATTACGATCAAATTGCAGCTATGCCTTTTTATTTCCACGTGTTAAAAATTGATATGAGAAAAACAGCAATGATCTCCAAAGCATGTAATTCCCTGTTGATACAAGTATATTGTTTACGTCCATCTGAAAATGCGCATATACAAACAAACATTAACGTAAGTAACGCCACGTGCTTTCGTATATATATATATCTATATATATATATATATATATGTATATATGCAAATATATTTATATATCTATATATCTATATATATATATATATATATATATGTGTGTGTGTGTATATATGTCTATATAATATATATATTTATATATATATATATATATATAAATATTAGTACATACACACGTACACTTGCACATGCGTCGGCACACGCAAGTTTCTATAGATACCTATATGTATGTATTTACACACACACACACCATACAAACACTCACACATATATATTCATATCTATAAATATATCAATATATATGTACGAACACACATTCTCACCCTTACACAACACATACATATACACACACATATATATATATAACATATATATATATATGTATATATGTATATATATATATATGGATATATATACAATGTATACATAATATATATATATACATTCATAAATACATATTTGGATATATATACAATACATATTTATATAATATATATTTGGATATATATACAATATATATATATATATATATAATATATATTTATATATAGTAAATGTATATATATATATATATATATATATATATATATG